CTTGTCAGCTGGGGTGGGGGGCATGAGATCTGGTAGCGCCATATAAAGACTGATTGGTGACCTAGGTCTATAAGAAGGTGGCGTGATGTGGGGGTGGGCAGCAGTAATGGGTGACTCCAGGACAATCATGGTGATGTATTCAAGGGTGATTAAAGGCATCTTGCTTTCACCATTATTTTAAAAACTGTCTCATTGAAGGATAATACACAGACAGGACAGGACACCTCTGGTAAAGGAGACAGCCTGGTGGATTTTGACAAACTGACCACTGCTGGGTAACCAGCCCCCAGCCCAAGAATGGTCGTTACTGGTATCCCTTTGGGCTCCCCTCTAGTCACTGCTCCTTAAGGGTAGATTGGTTTGCCCCCATTTCTACTTTATATGTGGAATCACACCCTCTGCGTGTTGTGTCTGTCTCATGCTGCTCAGCACTGCGGGCTCTCACATCAGTGACATGTATTTCCCACTCCTGATCATTTCAAACACCAGGGCCTTATCTCAAATGTGGCGAATTATCTTCTGTCACATGTCACTGATATGATGCTTTCTTATGGGGGAATTGTGTTGAACTTTTTATCCAGGGCATGTTTTAAATATTTTGTACAGATGAAAGAAACTTGCATCGATTTTGACAGGTGCTCAACTGTTTGTCAATGGAATGAATGAATAAACAAATGAATGGGTGGCATCTGCCTCCTTCTGTGTTGGGAATCAGCTCTACCTAGTGGAGAGGCCACCGGCTGCCCTAGTTAGACCAGCTGATCTGCTGTTTAGGCAAAGCTGATTCTTGATGGCGGGACATGGCACCCAAGCCAGACCAGTCATGTCTATGTCTCTGTCTAGGAATTTAACTTTGGACTCAAAAGAAAGACAATGGGCCCTGCCGGGACCCTAGGCCTGTGCTCTAGAGAGGACATCCAGGGGCTCTACTGTCAGGCCTCAAAGGCACAGTGGTTCTAGCTTTTCTCCACTTCTTGAAGCCATCAAGATCTAGATAGATGACTGTAAATAGCAGAGGAAAACTCTTGTGACTAAATTCCAAAGTACAACATAGAAACAATATGCTGCAGAAGCTCAGTCTGGAGCCAGGAAAGATTGGCCTGGCACCTGGGCAGCTTGCTCTCTGGGGAGGCGCCAGGAGAGAAGTAGTGAGGGCGTGGGTGTGGGTGTGGGTGTGCGACTCAGAGAGGGCTGGTAGAAAACCCCTAGGCAAGGCCTTAAGTCGCAGAAGTTGATTTACTGTCAGGAGAGAAGTCAAAGATGGTGCTAGTTTTGCGTTTCTGTATTAGGAAAGTAACCGTAACAGCAGGAGAAGGAAGGACATTTGAGGAGAGCAGAAGGGGGAGGGTGGAGAGGAGCGAGTGGGGGAGAGTCTGAGTTCTGGTAAGACAGCCAGATGGGTCTGGACAAGAATACAGGCTTGGAGTTCGGCAGCTGGAGTTGCCGCTGCACTTGCACTGCACTCTGTCTTGGGCACCTTATTTATTCAGCCTCCACCAGCCTCCAGTCCCTGTCCAGAAGCCCGGCGCTTCCTGGAAGGACTGAAGTCAGACAGTGCCCATAAAGGGTCCAGCTTATTGCCCGGCAATTAAGTATTCATAAACTGTGTATTAATAGGATGACGACGATGTGATGCTGTCTGGGGGAGGTTAGCGGCGGAGAGGATGCGGGAAGCTGGTAGCAGTGACTGGGAAGAGCATGTAGAGAGGAAAGCCCTGTCTCTGCAGGGAGCACCCCCAGGAGGGAGAGGAAGGAGAATGGGGAGCTGGCGCTCTAGGAGGAGGGGGTCAGCAACGCCTAGAGGTCCAGGAATGAAGGTGTTTTTCTTCCTAAAGTTGGGCTAGGGGTGGAGTCAGAGCCAAGGGGTGGGGTGTGTTTAGTCAGGATGGTAGGGGTAGGACGCCTGGAGGCTGGGGCTCCCCGCGGGTCCACCAGACCTGCGCGGATGCACCGCATGAAAAGGGGGAAGGGACAACTTCAAGTTATCCGCGACGCGTGGGCAAGTTTCTTCCATTGTCACGTCCTGGAATATTCCTTATTTTAAAAATTTGACCTGACTTTTCCTCAACCAAATTGGCCAGAGTTAGGAGGGGTGGTTTGTACCATAGATGGTGCTGGAAGGACTTGAACCTTCAAGTTTGTTCCTAACAGTAAGGCGGACCTGCAGGGAGGAGGGTGAGGGCAGGGGGAGTAGGGTGAGGGCAGGGAGGAGGGTGAGGGCAGGGAGGAGGGTGAGGGCAGGGGGAGTAGGGTGAGGGCCGGGAGGAGGGTGAGGGCCGGGGGAGGAGGGTGAGGGCCGGGAGGAGGGTGAGGGCAGGGGGAGGAGGGTGAGGGCAGGGAGGAGGTGAGGGCAGTGGGAGGAGGGTGAGAGCCCGGGAGGAGGGTGAGGGCCGGGAGGAGGGTGAGGGCAGGGGGAAGAGGGTGAGGGCAGGGGGAGGAGGGTGAGGGCCGGGAGGAGGGTGAGGGCCGGGAGGAGGGTGAGGGCCGGGAGGAGGGTGAGGGCAGGGGGAAGAGGTTGAGGGCAGGGAGGAGGGTGAGGGCAGGGGGAGGAGGGTGAGGGCAGGGGGAGGAGGGTGAGGGCCGGGAGGAGGGTGAGGGCCGGGGGAGGAGGGTGAGGGCCGGGAGGAGGGTGAGGGCAGGGGGAAGAGGGTGAGGGCAGGGAGGAGGGTGAGGGCAGGGGGAGGAGGGTGAGGGCAGGGGAGGAGGGTGAGGGCAGGGAGGAGGTGAGGGCAGTGGGAGGAGGGTGAGAGCCCGGGAGGAGGGTGAGGGCCGGGAGGAGGGTGAGGGCAGGGGGAAGAGGGCGAGGGCAGGGGGAGGAGGGCGAGGGCAGGGGGAGGAGGGCGAGGGCAGGGGGAGGAGGGTGAGGGCAGGGGGAGGAGGGTGAGGGCAGGGCGCGGTGGGAGCAGCAGGGCGAGGCCTGCGACGAGTAGGGGGAAGGAAAAGGAGGAGGGTCCCCGAGAGGAGGCTCGAGGGGTGCGCAGAGAAGCTGCTCTGCAAAACCGGCGCTGGGCTTTGTGAAGTTCTGCTTCGCACCGGAATCCTCATCCCGGACTGCGGCGGGCGGGAAGCGGGTCTCGGGTCCTGCGGCGGGAAGCGGCCTCCGCGGGGCTCGGCGCGGCGGGTCGGGGCCGGACCACCCAGGCGCAGCCCCCCGCCGTCCTGCGGGCCCCGGGTTCGGAAGCCCAGGAGGGGGTTCTGCCCTCGGGGCTTCGAGCATCTCAATACAGGCGTCGAGGCCTCCGTTGACGCGGCAGCGGCGGGTCCTGAACGGCGGCCCCCCGGTCCCGGCGTCCTCAGGCGGGCAGTGCGGCTTCGCGCCCCCCCCCCGCCCCGCCCCCGTCAGTCCAGGGACCCCGAGTCTGGGCGCGACTTGGGGTGGCGTCGCCTCGGGCCCCAGGGGCTGCCCCAGCTCTCGCGCCCACCCCTTTATTCCTGGCGGCTGATCCCACCACCGACTGGATCGGCCTATTGCTTTTGCGCAGCCCCCGGGTTGTTTTCCAGAAGCTTCTGAGGACGCCGGCCTCCTCGCTTCGCGCCTCCGGGCCACGGCCGCGCGCGGGCCGGCGCGCCCAGAAGGTCTTTCATAAATATTATTTTTTTGTGGGGATGTTTCTTTTTGGAATTGAACGTCACGGGCCTACTCCAAGTGGCCGAGGCCCTGGAGTCAGACCCGGTTCCAGAACCTTCGGGGCACGGCCTCGGCGCCCCGGACGGGTTCTCGGGACGCGCGCGCGCCCCCGCGCCCGGCTCCCACAATCCCCCGCGGCGCCGCTGGGCCCGGGCGCGCGCGCTCGGGAGCTCGGCGTTCGGCGGCCTTCGGGCGCCGTCCGGAAAGTCGCGAACGCCCCCCGCGCCCACCCCCCTGCGCGAGCCCGGCTTCGGCCATTTCCGGCGCGCGCGCTTCGGCAGGTTCCGCCGCCCCTGTCGGAAATGGCTGCCCGCCGGCAGGGGGAGCGGGGGGCCCGGCGCGGCCTGGAAGGCGCGCGGCAGGCGGCGAGCGCGGCGCTGGGGAAGCCGAGTTTCGCGCGGGCGGCGGCGGCTCCGGGCTCCTGAACGCGAAGCCGGTAGGACGCTGGCGGCGGGGCCCGCGCCGGGCGGCGGCCGGAGGGGCTCGCGGGGACCCGGGCCGGGCCGGGCTGGGCCGGCTCCGGGCGGCGGGCGGCGGGCGCGGGGTCGCGGCGCCGGGCCGGGGCTGGCGGGCGTAGCCGGTAGGCCGCCTGGCGTCGCGGGGCCCGGGCGCCGCACCCCGGGCCCGCGCCGCAGGGTAACGGTCGCCGCGGAGCCCCGCGCCCGCCCCGCCGCCGCCCCCGCGTGGGGCTCGGCCCCCCGCGCCCCCGGGGCCGCGCCTGCCCGGCGCCTCGCGCGGCACCCTCGCCCCGGCGCCCCGTCCCGCACGGCGCCCCCGGCGCCCCCCGCCCGCCGCCCCCCGCTTTGTGGCCGAGGCGGGCGCCGGGGACGCGGCCTGCGGGCTCGGGGACCCGGGCCTAGCGCGGCCGGCCGCCCGTCCACACCGCAGGCGGCCGGGCTGGGAGCCCCGCGCCGGGCGGCCGGGCCGCCGAGGGGTGTCGCCCCCGCCCCCGAGCGGCCGCCCGCCCCGGCCGGTGCCGGCAGCGCCCGGACCCGCGCTCGGTGGGGCCTCCGCCCCCGACTTTCCGCCCCTTTGCTTTTCAGAAACTCGAAGGACTTCGGCAAGTTCTCCCCGCCCGGCGGGGGGCGGGGGGCCGCGCGTGTCCGTGGCCTCCCCACAGGCAGGCGCCGGGCGGCCCCGTCCCGCTCGGGCCGCTCGCTGCGGGCTCGGCCGCTCCCGGCCTCCCTCCGCCTCGGGGAGGCTCCGCGGGCGCTGCCCCCTGCCCCCTGCCCGCAGCGCCGGTGCCCGGCACCAAGTCCCGCCTGCCCCGCCGGGGTTGGAGCGGCGCCCCAGCCGCCTGGGCTCGGGGGAGAAGGGGCTCCCGGGGGGGCGGAGAGGCGGGTGCGGAGCGGCCGTCCCGGCTCCGAGCGGGGCTTGGCCTGTGTCAGGACGGAGGAGGCGGCGTCTTCCTCTCGCTGTGAAACGCCGCATCCTGTGGGAATTTCCTCACCTGCCGGGGGAGCCCGGGCCCACGAGGGAGGCGCTGCCAGGCTCTCTGGAGGGGGAGTGGTGCGGTCCCCGGCACCTCGCGGCACAGGCCTGTCTTCCTTCCCCGCCCCGCACCTTTCTAGGATCAGAGGCTGGTCCTGAGTGTTTGGTGCGGAGCATCTCTCAGAGACCAGGCTCAACGTTCACCTGCAAGACTAGGTGAGCCGTTAGAGAGGAGGGGGCGCAGCCCGCCTCCCCCAGGAGTGGGCTTCTGCGGGCACTGCAGCCTGGTCTGGAGCAGAGGCGGCTCAGGCCCCAGAAGAGAAGGATCACACCTGACTTGTTGGTACAGGGTTGAGGGCATCGCTTCTATTTACTTGAGAGTAACAGGAGTATGAGCCGGGGCCTTTCATTAAGCCCCCAGACTGAATGAACTGGGATTGCTGCTGGATAGTGAGTTTATTTTCATTTTGTTTGTTTCTTAATTTTTGGTAACGGTTTCTTCGGAACCTACAGTGACAGAGGAGTTAAATCAGAGAGAAAACGGGGTCTTTCCTGGTCTGCAGCGTCCGTGAAGATAGTGGTGCTCAGGCAGATGGAATTTGAGACCTGGGGGGAGTAGGGGACGGGACAGAGATGGCTTGATCTTCTGCCAAAACCCATCCCACATGCCTTTCACACTTGGGATTTTTCAGGTCTCTTTGCTGATGTTATTAGGTGGGAGAGAAGCAGGAATAAAAAATCTGTAATCTTGAGCATAAATGGAAGGAATATGGAGACTACTTTTAGTGCCATCATTGCCTCCCCTGCAGGTAGGCCTAATGCTCAGTGTAAGGTATTGCTCACAGGCACTAAAGTGACCCATGCAGTACCAGGATGGAGCCCCAGCAAGATGAACTGTGTCCTGCATTCAGCACCTCTGTGGTTTGTAACCCAAGTGCTCTTACGGAAACGTAGATACGCTTTCTGGTAAGGGTCAGATGGTACTTATTTTGGGCTTTGTTGAACCAGCTGTTCAGCACCAGGCTGAACAGCACCAGCTGTTCAGCCCTGGTGCTACAGAGAAAGCCTGTGCAAAACACCTCTCCACGGTACCTACTCATGGGCACTGGCGGGCCGTCTGTAGGCCGTCCCTGCATGAGCGTGGCTGTGTCTGGTGCTCGGCTCACAGAACAGGCAGCTGGCCCTGGCTTGCCAATGCCCTCCCTACACCATCACCCCTCACACACATGTCATCGCTGTGGCAGATTTTGTCGGTTCCATTGGGCTGCCCAGCCTTTCAGGCTCATCAGTGGTATTAATGATTAACGCCTGGGTGTTTGCTTTGTAGGTCTCCTCTGTTACCCTAACCTCAGGCAGTGGCATCATTTTAACCCTTTTCTCTAACTTCTTCTAAATGTTTTTTAACACACACTTGATACAGAGGGAGAAATAAAAAAAGTGAATCATACTGGTAATATGCCCTTCGCCTGTGTATTAGGAGAACGTCACGTTTGTATGCTTTGTGAGGGTAGATTACAATGTCTTCAGTTGCTGTAGTTCTTTGACACCATATAACCCTTTCACCTGTTTTCCTTCTCACAGCTTTCTATCTGGGTGATAAGAGGCTAAATGTTATATCCCCCCCCCCCTTTTTTTTTTCTAAGAGGGAAAAAAGGTAGGAGGGAAAAGAGTTGAGGAAGCTTGGTTATTTGATCAAGGTCAGAAGTCGGAAGTGACAGTTCTTGAGCTGGTCACTAATACTTTCTGATCTGCCTGACTTGAGTACTCCTAACGGACCTCCTGGGGCTGCCTGTTGCAATCGGCCCACTGTCCACGGTCGTTGGCTGGGAAGCCTTTCCTTACTGCGCTGCAGTTTTCCTTTCTATGACTGTTACAGGGAGGACCTGTGTCCTCTCTTCCTCTGACAGACACATGGAAGGTAGCCTGGTGTTTCCCAAGGCAGGAGTTGCGCACTGGTGTATGTGTGGATCAGCTAAGGCCTGTGGCAGCATTTGACTGCCCGACTTGTACAGAAACTGAAACTGGAAAACAACTTTAGAAATGGTGAGATTTCACACGTCTCTTTCTGGCTCTTCTGGGGAGAAAATTAGGGAGTTGATCCTTGTAGTTCTTTTCTAGGTCTTCTGCTCCACTGGCTGAGCAGCCACCTGCTTAGTCTTCTCCCATTCCCTTTGTTCCTGTCCCCGTTAAAGTGCGGTGCTCGGCGCAGTGGACAGTGTTGCTGACGTGTGGAGGAGCCTTTACTTTCCCGACTCTGATGACACAAAGCAGCAGTGCATGGACAGGGCGTTTTTCTAAGCAGTCCCTATTTTCTTGATTCATTGCAGAAGCTGAAAATCACAACCCATGCGGGTGCTGCTGTTCAGCTAAACCATTTCCATGTAATTTTGAGACCCAAGTACTGAACTTTGCTTTTTGAATCTCTCCTAAATTTTCTGCTTAGATGTTTGAGGCTGATGAAATCTTTTTGTGTCCTGGGTTTTCTTCCAACAACCCTGATTTACTGCTCCCAGTGTGACTTTTTATTTCTGAAGTAGAGGCTGAAAAAGAGAAATGCCTTGTGGCTTAGAATGGAGATTGGAGTTGGTAAGGACCTGAATTATTATTAATGGGTTCAGGGGAAGCTGAGGGGGTTTCAAGGGGAAATATGCTTGAAATCTTGGAGGTAAAACAGAATGTCTTGGGAATAACCCTGCTCCCTTATGTTGCTATACTGGTGATATTTTTCTCTCCAACAAATCAGTATGTGCTTTCTACATGCAAGGCGGTTGTGAGTCAGTAGGATTCTAGAAGCTAAAGGGATCTTTGAGGTCTTGTGTTCTAGTCCTTCAATATATGAGTTAAAAAGGGATAAGAAATCCATGAGTCAAGCAGGATGAGGAACGGCGAGGTTAGGGGATCTGATGAATCAGAAAGATGGTAATGATAAAGGGACGGCCAAGCTGGAGTCTCAAGTTGAATTCACCATGAAGGCTGAGGTAGGCGCCTGAGTCATGAAGCTGATTTATGTGTGGCCGAGCATGTTTTCACTTCAGTTGTCGGTCTCACTTGCGGAGGCCTCAGGCGCCCATGATATCAGTTGTGTGCTTCCATAGCCTCGAATCAAAATCATGTTTTCTTGCGGAACAGAATCCTTAGAGAAATTGGTCTATACTCTGGGCACTTGCACGTTAAGTCGACTGTTCCAGGAAGATGATTTAGCAAGATCCACCTAAATACCTTAAAGAAAATTTATTTTTACTGCCTTACCCAGTGGAATATGTATTTTCCCACTTTACGTTATGAACATTTCCCCATTTTAAATGATTGAAAAGCTTACTGACAACATGATAGACATATTATGACATGCATCTATCATATTTATATTTGCTCCTGATTTTGGACATTTTATAATTTTTTCACTCTTATAGAGAATGCTGTAATTACATCTTTATGATACAAATCTTTGTTCATTTAGAGTATATTCCTAGAAAGTGAAATTGCTGGGTAGGCAGTATGGGCATTTTAAGGACTTCTGTCACAAATGGAAAATGGCTTTTCGGTGTACCTTCCCGCTAACGCAGCGGAGAGAGAGCCTGTCCGGCGGCCGGGGGGGGGCTGTGGTGGAGGCTGTGTTTAGCAGTGGCTCCCCCGAACTAAACCTTTTCCACTTGCGATTCATTAGAGTGATTTCTGGAAGTGGAGGGCAGGGTCAGAGAGGGGGCGCAGTTCCAGGGCTTGTGTTACCCACTGCCAAATTGTGCTCCAGAAAGTTGTGCCAGTTTTCACTGGCGCAGGAGTGTGGGAATGTCACCCTTGACCCCGGCCCGCGCTGCACATTGTCATTCTGCAGTTCCTCACCGGCTCCGTAGTGGGCAGCGCCACTGGAATCTCCTTCAGATGTGTTTTCCCTTGATGGCTAGTGTGCATTAACCTTTAACTGTGTTTATCATTTGGGCCCTTTCTCCTGTGGGACTTCCTGTCCATCCTCTGACCACCCTTTACTTCTGTTGAAGTGACGTCAAGTCACAGATCCCCCCTCACCATCATCCCCAGGCTTTTCACTGAATCCATTTTTTTCCCCCTCACAAAAAAGCTTTGGGTTCTTAGGCAGTCAAATCTGTTGAATTTATCTTTTGTTTGGATTCTTAAAAAAGTAACTACACTTATCTTGAGATGAGATTACATGGGTTTTTTTTTTTTTTGCTTCTCTTTATGGTTTCATTTATTATAATTACCTCTTAAATCCATCTAGGAATTACTTTTGGATTTCATTTGTCATGCAGGAATCTGAATATTGTTTCCTGAAAAGCTAATTGTTACCTTTATTGAAAAGCCTAGTGTGGTTTACTTTGAAATGACTACAGCAGGATAATATATATGGATATACACACAAATATGTACATATATACATATAGACAGTCTACACAAGTATTGTCTGACTATTAAATGAAGGAAGACTCAGGTAATTTTTTAAATATAGTAACTGAGTGCATGGCAGGGCACGGGTCACACCTGAGTTTTTATCTGGACTCCCAACCTGCCTTCTGTTTGGCCTCAAACAAGTTTCTCAACCTCAGTGATTCACCAAGTCTATATCTGTGAAGTGGAAATAACAACACCGACCCCCCAGATGCTGATGTGAGTTTGAAATGAAGAATGTGTGTTACCTGGAACACTGTGCCTGGGACATTGTAAATTTAAATAAACAGTAGAGAAAACAGGCACGGGGCTCCCCGACATCTTCCAAAGGTGTATGGTGTGGTGTGTGGCTGTTCCCCAGGCATGGGGGTGTTGCTGTCTGTCTCCCCTGCTTGTCTCTAATTGATTCAGATGCCATCATTCTGAGTGGGATTTTCATCAGTTCTTTTTTATTTTTATTCATTTATTTATTTTTAAAGATTTATTTATTTATACAAGCACTGGGTACAGTCAGAAGCGCGGGAGGGGGAGAGAATTCACCAGAGCCAGAGCGGGGAGCAGAGCAGGCAGAAGGACCGAAGTACACTGCTGAGGGGAGCAGCAGGCGGCAGGAGAGGTCTGCGCGCCATGTGGGACCCTCCTCGGGTGGCCGGGGAGCAGCTTGGGGATCGAATCGGCGCTGCAGAGGCTGCGGGCAGCTTCGCAACCCAGCGCTCAACCGCTGCGCCACCGGGGAGGCCCTCATCAGTTCTTTTTTAGACTGGTGATTTTTTTTAAGGTTGAGCGGTGTAGTCCTATTAAAATCACCTGGGAGC